ATCAAAGCCCGATGAGACCAGACCCTTAGAGGAGAGACCACCCTCTTTACCAGTACTACCCGCATCCTCCGGCAAATCACCATCCAAAGGTGGTGATTCCTTTGGTGCGTCATCATCTTCTTCTCGAGGCTCATTAAGGACATCATAAGAAGCCTGCAATCCCGTGGACATAGCTTGAGGCTCTTCTACATACGGGGTTCCAAATACTTTGCGATACACGTTCAAGAAGAGGCCCTTCTCTACTGAGTTTAATACACATTTATCATTCTCATAGACATAAGCAGCCATGTCTTGAATAGATCCACCCGGATTAGGAATATTCCGTATCGTAACAATAGCTTCAAGTTGAGTCCTCCCAAGATTAGCCAATAACATAGGGCTCCAACAAGGAGCTGCTACCATTTGTTGGGAGCCGTTCTGGGCCTCCATGTCAATGTTCTCAATGTCACGAGAAGATACACTCATCCCACTAGATTAACACAACCAATCGATAATACCAATTAATACTAATGGATAGGTAATAATCAACCCACCAAGCCTTGGGTTGCAACGATAGTACTTCACGTAAGGATGGTCCAACCAGTAAGGACCACAAACCAATAAAAGAACTCTTAATCTTATCTACACTTCACATACAAGCTCTAGCTTACTTAGCTTGAATGTCTACGATCACACAGAGCAAACACTACCGCGCACGCCCTAAAATCAAGTGCTCAGTTTGCTCACAACAGAAACATGAGGGAGATAGAGGAATTGAGGGCGAACGGTGAGCGATGAAAGCTTCTGTCCTTCCATGTCTATCATTCAGGTGATATAACTCACGAGGTCGGCCTCAATGAATATGCCGATGTACCATCCGAAGTATTCGATAAAGCGTTCCAGTGCGCTACAGATCCGCAGTTTAAAGAAAATCTGCGCTCAGTCAATGCGACTTGTACTATCACTTTGCGCTTGTTCCAGTGAAGTCGAAAGATTTCCTCAGACCCACAGGATGAAATAGCAGCTCCTCCTCCGTCGGTTGACTGGGAAGCCGCTGGTGCTTTGGCTCCAGTCAGGGCTCAATCGACTCAGCTGAACAAATGTGGCTCTTGTTATGCCATCGGCGCTACAGGTAAGCCTCCGATGGCTTTCCATACTAATCTAGAGGGGAATTTTGGGGGCGACCATCATCACAACCGTCGGTTCCTCTTCAGTCGTTTTGGAGAGCCGTTCCAAGATACAGACCGGCATTGCTCACGTGGTTCCGTTCTCAGTTCAACAGATAGTTGATTGTAGTAGATTATACGGCAATAAGTGAGACAACATTCAGTTATTCGATTGAACCACGTTATCCTCACATGATCTGAGTTTACCTTCAGAGGTTGCGATGGAGGTAGCGCCAAGTCGTCATATATGTACGCGAGGGGTCGTGGTATAGTGCCAGCCAGTAGCTACCCTTATGAGGCTGAGGTTGGTATGTGTAAGTATTCCATCACTGAGGATCCAAACCTGAAGTGTCTCAAGGTGATTATACCTTAACAATCGATCCAGTGCTGCTTGTTGTTATTAGGATGGTGATATCTATGGAGTCGTTGACGTACCGGCGGCCACGAGGGTCGCATGATGGAAGCTGTAGCTACCGGACCAGTGACGGT